TTTCTCTGATTCTGATTGGGCTGGTTGTCCTGACGATCGAAAATCCACGAGTGGTTTTGCTGTTTTCTTGGGGAGTAATCTTATATCATGGGTTTGCAAGAAACAAAGAACTGTTGCCAGGTCATCCACTGAGGCTGAATACAAAGCTCTTGCAGATGTTTGTGCTGAGGTTCTATGGATTATGTCATTATTGCGTGAGATACAGATTCTGGGTATTTCCATTCCAAAATTATGGTGTGATAATCTAGGAGCTACATATATGAGTGCCAATCCAATCTTTCATGCGCGCACCAAGCATGTGGAGATTGATTATCATTTTGTTCGTGATCGAGTAGCTTCGGGCGATATCCAAGTCAACTTCATCTCCACAAAGGATCAACTTGCTAATATCTTCACCAAAGCTCTGCTTGGACCTAGATTTTCTTCCTTAAGGGACAAGCTACAGGTTACTAGTATACACTGTGCTTGAGGGGGAGTATTAGGACTCTATGTATATGAGTCTGTTTAGAACTTCTTATCCTTGTCACACTGTGACTCTCTACTTCTTATCATTGTCACACTGTGACTCTCTATTCTATATATTCACATCATCTGATCTCATTGTAATCAAGTTCAGAAAATATAATACAATCAGTTCTCATCCTGCAGTTACATTCATGCATTTAACAAACAAACTTAATCTTTGAAATGATCAAATACGTGCAACAAACTTAAAAAGGGGTAACAATTATTTTGTCGTTGCGTACTCGATTCCTAAAACTAAGTTCAAGCTTGCTTGACTTTAATAAATTTTTAAAAAAATTAAAAATTATACAAGTCTATTCACCTCATCCCACTCCTTCTAGATTTGTACACTAACTCATCGGGACCAACATTGCAAATTGGGTTTGAGAGAAGCTGGATTAGATCATGGTGAATGATGCATGGCTGGATTGCTTCACAAATGCCAAAGCTTCCTCAATTGATGATGCACTTAGTGACCAATTTCCTTTATTTCTATGGCATGCATGTCAAGCTGCCAAGAATTCTTAGAAGCACTGGACCACATGAAAATGATCTTAAATTAATTCGAAAACAAAAAGTGGTCGGAAATAGCAATAAGAGTCCGTTTGGAAAGCAAGAAAATGACTTCTGGTAAATGACTTCTGAAAAATGAGTCATTTTCCAAAAGTCATTTTCCTTTCCGGTGTTTGGCTGCAAAATAGAAAACTGTATTTTGGTGTTTGGCTAATTTTCTGGAAATGATGTAAAATTGTATAATTAAACATTTTATATAATTAATTATTTTGTTTAAAATATATAAAATTTACAATAATATTATAAATAATAATATATATTTATAAAATCAAATAATATTATTTATTAAAAAAAATTAAAAAAAAAACAACAAACCAAAAAAAAAGACGAAAACCAGAGAGTTCACGGTTCTCTCTGGCTTCCGGCCGGAAAGGCGAAAACCAGAGAAAAGCTCTCTGGTTTCCAGCGGAAACTAGAGAGAGCTTCTCTCTGGTTTCCGGCCAGAAACAAGAGCCACTGGTTTCCCCAGTCGGAAACCAGAACTGGTTTATGGCTGGGGAAACCAGTGAAGAGATGGTGTTGTGTGAATGTTGTTGAAGGAGGAAGGCTGCTGCATTTGTGTGTGTGTGTGTTTAGAAGATGGAAAATGACTTCCCAAAAAAAGGGGAAGTCATTTTCCAGAAATCAACCCTCATTTTTCATTGACTATCCATCATTTTGCTTTGACCACTTCATTTTCCGCCTACCCAAACACCAGAAACTCAGAGAATGATTTCCAGAAATCATTTTTCGGATTTCCAAACAGACCCTAAAGGTTTTTCCGGATACTAAAAGTGGGTGGAACAAGGCTTTCGACTTGATTTAAGATCATTTTCAGGTGGTTGGAAATTCCATAATTTCCAGCAGTGAAGGTGGAGATTTAAATTTGAAAACTTGTGACTGAAGGAAGTAGATTGTAGTGAGGTGGTCTACAATAGTTGGAATCAATCGATTGGGCAAAATTTCATGTCCAATGTAGATGCATGTGCATAAGCATTGTGGAATTGGGGGAAGGGATTTACGAAGAATTTCCAAAAAAGAATTAAAGATTTTAAGAACCAGATGGAGAAAACTCGTGGCAGGTATGATCCCGAGAGGTATTGGAATTTTTTGCCAAAATGGTATTTTAAGTTTCTATTTTATAACCAGATGGAGAAAACTCGTGGAAGATTGTAAGAACCAGATGGATCTTTGTTTGGGGTTTAACTCCTCTACTGTTCATGGTGTGTAATTGTTGTGCGCAGGAAATCATGGCCACCAACCTCTTATTCCTAGTGGTGACGAAGGGTCGTCCGGTGACGATTTCCACACCCCGCCCCTGGTATTGAATGACCCCCCTATAGGCCTCCAGTTCCCTCAAATAAACACGTGGGGGATGCCGAAGGACCTGGCTTACATCGTGGGGGCTCTAACGCCGAGGTAGAGGCAGGATGTTACGAACATTGGGTTTGGGGCGCTGGTGGGGTTTAAGATTATGGAGGTACCGCTGCGGATGGGTCATTGGTTGGTCAGCAATTTTGATCCAGATCAAATGACGCTACACCTGGATAATGGTCGCTACATGTCAGTCACCAACGCGGATGTTGCGTTGGTTTTTGGCCTCCCTAGTGGTCCGATACCTATTTCTGAAGGGGATACTCGGGCGGTTAGCCCGGAGTTGCGAGCGCGGAGGCATGAAATGAAGCAACAGAAGGGGAGAGTCACAGTTAGGGCTTTGAGTAAGCGGATGGTGGAATTGAGCGACGGGGGATCGTGGTTCAAAATCCACTTTAGTGTTGTATTGGTGACCACACTAGTGGCAAGCACTCCGAATGGTTATGCAAACCAAAGAATTGTCCACATGTTGAGTAATGTGGAAACGATTAAAAACCTTGACTGGTGCGGGTACCTCGTTCGTTCGTTAGGCACTACTCATCGGGCCTGGTCTGAGGGTAAATCCCGCAAATTCAACGGTCCTTTGTTATTCTTGGCTGTAAGTATAGTAGTGGGTATGTTGATGTTTGTTTCTACTGGTTTGTTGTTGCTAATGAAGCTGCATATGTCTGTGTACCAGCTGTTATATTTGGACAGGGGTTCAGGTAGGCGCCCGGGAGGTTCCAAGGACGACCCCCTTGATTGATGGATGGACCACGGAGTACATAAACGATCGGGAGCGGGCTGAGGTCGATTCGAGGGCCTTTGGTCTGGGGCGGGTCAATGCTCCCCTACGCGCATACATTCCGCAGGCTTTGCCCTTGACGGGTGAAGGAAGGCAGGTATAATACTTTTTAAATTTAATACGTTGTTAATACAAACTCTGGGAGATAATAGTGCAACTGGCCTAATTAAGTAGGTTCCCTGTTTATTATTATAATTAGATTTTAACATCTACATCATAATGAATGGAATGAAAATATTTTATTCACTATAAGCCAATGATGCATATATTCCCCATCAAATACGGTACAAATGTGAAGTGTAGATATTATAATAGTGCAACTCGCCCAATTAAGTAGGTACCTTGTTTCTCCTCTTACATCCTGATTGCTGGCAGGGTGAAGATGCTGAGCTGCCAGCTGCAGCGAGTTCGGGTGCACAGATACCAACCGGACGCCTGGTGCATGACCCTCCTAGGCATGCAACATGGCAAAACATGGTATGTATTAGTGATGTCTAGGCTGGTGGACCCACAACAAAACCTATCTCTTTTTAGTGATTTAAGCCAGTGATGCATATATTCCACATCAAATACGGTTACAAATGAGAAGTATAGATATTGTAATAGTGCAACTCGCCTAATTAAGTAGGTACTTTGTTTCTCCTCTTACATCCTTATTGTTTGCAGGGTCAAGTGGCTGAGCAGCCAATCGCAACGATAAGGTGATGGTATGTGTTAGTGATGTGTAGGCTGCTACCTGTAGTACTAAATGGGCTTTGTTTTTTTTTTTTTTTTGTTTTTTTTTTTAATATAGTAAAACCAACCTTAAAACATAATAAACAAAATGAGTTTTAGTTGTCTACCTTACTGATGATAGCACTATGAATGCATTATATTTTTGGAATTGATTGCATACTGTGATCTTTTGAACGTGTGTACTCAGGTGATTAGACCAGTGTTAGTTAACCTGGTTGTGGTGTTTTATAATAACTATAAGTTTATATATTTGAAATAGAGTGAATTGTCTTTTTAGTTTTTTATTAATTATTTTTTTTATTTGTTTCATTCTTGGAAATATATTTTTCAATCAATTTTTTGGTCTAACCTGGTTGTGGTGTGTTAAAAGAGTTACTAATTGGTTGCACTGAAAAGCTTTACTAATTGGTTACTAAGAGTTACTAATATATTAAGCATTACTAATTGGTTGCACTGAAAAGCTTTATTCCCAGGTATCCCAAGAATGCACTAGTCATTAAAACATAAGTTTTGGTGTGCTTTCTCACTTGCAAACCTAAGTGCTTTTTGAACTACATGTGCCACTGTGTGTTAAGAATTCTGTTCTGTCACACGGTTCGGTGAAGTGTTGTTGTTTTAATTCAGCTTTGATTTCAGCTTTTAATGTAATGCTTAATGCAATGGGAGGTGGTGCGCATTATGGTACCCACACAATAAAAAAGTGCTGCAATGGGAAAAATCTCATACTTTGTTATGTTTTCAATCACTGATTTGGGTGTGGTGCGGTGCAGGTGTTTAGCCATGAGTTTGCGGTAATCACCGGGGACTTGCTTTCGCTCGTGACACGAGTTGTTGACTAGGTTACCCATCACTCCCAGGCAGCTAGAGAAGACTGTAATTTCTGGAGGGTGGTGGAATCGGCTCAACTAGTAGAAAGGTGTATTCTAAACCATCCTAAGGCAGTGAAGGCACCACAGCGGCCGCCAGTCCCACCGCCCGTTCGCGATGATGAACCCCTTTGGCACGATGCAGACTTTATTAGGGAGCTGGACCAGGCTGTGGTAGCTACCACGGGGGCTGTTGGCATTGCAGATGGTCCGGTGGTTGACCAACCAAACCAAAGGGATACCACATCAGTGTCTCATTAGGTGACCTCTTTGTGTATTGCAATGTTAGCGGACTTTGAAAGGCTTATCGCGGCTACTATTGCAGCTGCGTGACCAAGCTGAGATAGCCCAAATGGAGACTTTAGGCGTGTCTGATGTGCCAAGTTTTAGCATAGGGCTTACTCAGGAGTTTGCAAACATGAAACAGGCGGACAAGCATGTTAACGCTCCGAACGACACGCCACTGCCTCCTCAGGTAAACTCTTGTGTGTGGCCATGTTACAGTAATTTAGTATGCTCATTGGTAATCTGGTTACAGGAACCAGTTATTTCACCATGCATTGTGCCACGCAGGGTGGATGTTCCTAGGCTTAAAGGGAATGAACCACTCATTCAACGGGACCGCTCTGCGGGCATTTTTTTCAGCATCACTTATGGCTATCCAGCGATCCCAATGCCGCATGTGTATGCTGTGTGGTTGTGGGTGTTTAAATGCCAGGAGGGAGACCGGTAAGCGTGGATACTCACTTGTTGTGTAATATCTACCCCTGCGACCTTATGGATCATTCCTGGAATTAACATCTGCACGATATGGTTTCTTGTCTCTAGGAATGAATTGATGTTCCAACACCCTCAGCGAACGGTAAAGTGGACACAATTCCAAACGTTAAGAGAGGTCAAAAGTGTGAACAGAACCGTGGTTGATGCATGTTGTTGTGTCCTCAATTCCCGGGAGAAATCAAGGAGGCCAAGTGTGCCGGCTCGTCTGTTTCTGCCGACTAGCACAACGGTAAGCAACTCGTAGCACACCACATAGTCAACTATGTTTGAAGCCAACCTAATTACTACCAGTAATGTGCAGATTGGGATGGTCGTTGGCATCTCAGGTAGCGAGGATGCCAGGGTCGCTTGGTTTCAGATGCGTATGGATACAGTGTTGCAAAATATGGGATATGATGGGACAGCCGACGTAGATTCGGTGAGGTTTAATACTGCCTAGTTTAAAACAGATAACCAGCTAACATGCAATGCTCTTACTCGTTCTTTGAATGGTAACACAGTTCATTTTCCCAATTTTTGACAAGGGCACGTACTACATGATGGCGATAAACTTTGAGCGTTCCCGGTTTGACATCATAGATAGCTCGTCGGTAAAGAAGCCAAACAAGGATTTGTATGTGGGTGCACCGGGGGAGTTGGTATGTTTTTAAAATCTCTTGATTACATTTTGGTTGCATCGGTGAATTTAATGGTTTTTAAAAATGAATGTGATGCAGACCATGTGCCTAGCCAGTTACCTAGACTCTAAGCTGCAGTGTAACACCCCGAAATTTTAAAAATTTTGAGACTAATATAATAAAGGTAAATTCTCATTAAATCCCAAAACATAACGTAAGAGTACGGGGTTCTATGCCACACCTGAGCTAGATTGCTCAGGTGCACAGGCTAACTAACTAATATCCTCAATAATGTCAATACATAAGCATGGCACGCAGGCCGAAAGGGAAACTATCTACCCTACGCTCCAGATCTCTAGCGCGCTCCAGTGTTTACTCATCTGTGCCTGAAAGCCAAATATATCTGTTCAGCGAGAGATGCTGGTAACCCACTCCAACGCGTTGAAATACATTATAGATAGATATATATAGATATACGAAAATCATTTCGAAGCAGGAAGATATATACTCAAGAGACACTAGTTTTAAAACCAGGAATAGACTCGACAGATAGGGATAAGCACGTTCAACAGTTATAGCCAAGCATATAAAGATACTAGCATATATCCTATGGTCACAGATTCACTTTAGCCCATTCATATCATTATTCAATTTGTATCTCATCACACAAGCACACTTTGGTGGCGCCACAGGACCAATCGCATGCCCATACATGAGGGTCAGCGCATATAGCTCTGACACGGCCCTGCAGCACCCTGCCTCGTATCGCAATACGAAGGGGTCGATCGCAACCGACCAATGAACCGCAGCTCATCATAATGTTTGATCGCAACCAAACAGTGGATCGCAGCCCAAAAGTGATCATCTGACCGCAGCCAGGAATATGAACCGCAGCTCATGTCAAACGTTTGATCGCAACCAAACGGTGGACCGCAGCCCAAGAGTGTAATTCTGACCGCAGCCAGCTTCTGAACCGCAGCTCAGGAATAACCAATTTGATCGCAACCAAATTGGGGTATCATTCACACTTAACACATATCAAGCACATGCAACCCACATTAACACATTGGGAAAGGGGAGAAGGCGTATAATGAAACCTATGCGTGGTCATCCACATACTAGGAATAATCCTAAGGGGTTCATACTTCCTTTACCTAGGCCAACGGGATACCAATTCAACTAGCATGCGATATATATGACTCTTTTATCCTACGAATGGTACCCGGAACATCAAACTAGACTTAGGCACGATAAACGGAGTCCGTTGGGACACCGCGAGGGTCGGGGAAACATCAAACGAGGAAGCCGAAGACCCAAGGTGGGCAAATTCCAGCGGGTAGCCAGTGGGTGGAGGACCACCCGCCAGCTGCCCGCCGGCGACAAGCCTCAGGGCAGCGGGTGCCCGGCGGGCAGTCGCCTGCCCGCTGCCGGCGACGTCTTTTCCGGGCAGCGGGTAGGTGGCGGGTCCCCCTACCCCCACCTATCCCCACTGACTCTTTATCAAAATAAACGTCCCGGGATCCGTTGTGGAACCCGAAACCACGCTTACACACTTTCAAACGTAATTGACGACACCACGTAGACAATTAGCGGATCAAAAGCAAGAATCATATAGCACACACCCTATCATGATTTCTAAATGAAACCAACACCCGAACATGCGAAATCCCACCCAATTATATCAAGAATAACACAATACGAAATCCCCAATTTGACCTAGGGCTCTAATCACATTTAAATCATCAAAATCATAGTTCATCTTTTTAATATCAAGAAACGTCATGATTCATCAAGAACATCACATAATCATCAAGAACCTCTTATCATCATCAAGATCATCGAGGTCACACATAAAATCATCTCACCAATTATCAAGATCATATCATCAATATCATAAACGATTCATCACGACACAAGCATAGAGAGGAGGCCAAAGAAGATAATTATAGTAAGGAAAATAGGTTTTGTTGAGACATGGGTTACCTCTTAGCCTTAATTAATTTCCTTGGTTTTGAAGGGTCTTTCTTTAAGATTCCTTCTTTCTTGATTTCTCCTAGGGGGGTTCTTGGAACTTCTTGCGTGGTGAGAGATTATTGTGGTGTGGGTTCTAGGTGCCTCCTATGTCCCTATTTATTTACCTAAGAGTCCCAATTAGGGTCCAAATACTATAGCCTTGCTAATTCTATTCCTTCCAGGACTAGGGGCTAGGTTTTAGGGATAAGGGCCCATGGACTATAGTGGGCCTTCTCCTAATTAATTACTGTAATTTAATTCTTTCTTTTGGGTAAATGATTAAATGATTAATTGCTTTTAGGGGTCGTAACACGGGGTGTTACATTCTCCCCCCCTTACAAGAGGCTTAGTCCCCGAAGCCGGTGCGTTGACCCACTCTTTCACCCCTGGACATCCCGTATTTTGGCCTCCTGGTTAGGAACATGGCCCTACGTCTTGTCCTTGCTGAGGTAGACTGGATTTCTGGTGACGTGGTGATTGGAAGGTTCGGGTCTACCTTGGTTTCCTGCTCTTGAACTGGATGCCCCGCGAGTGCCCAGGATGGTCTCGATTGCTGCCACCCTCTGATCAAAAGCGCGTGTCGCGTGGATTAAGGACGAGAATCCTTCGTCCATGATTTGGTTTTGCCGGGTGAACTGTGCGAGGATGCGCTCATTGACAGAGTCTTCATTTTGTCCCCTTGGGTTTCCTCCCGTTCGTGCGGGTGCCGGTGGGTTAGGCTCGCTATTTTCTTCCTGTTCCTCACTTCCCTCTAGTCCCCCACAATCTTGCATTGCCCATTTAAGCTTTTTGTAGGAGATGTCCAATCGGTCAACCAATTCTCTTCGCTCCTCCTCGGGTTTAAGGCAAATCTCCTCGAGGGTGATATACTGTCCTCCCTCGGTGTAGTAGATATCGTTGCGACGGAGGTTCTGGGCATTGAAAACCATGCCACTTGCGAGTTTGACCTCTGTGTGGCTTAGGTCTACTCCTTTCTTCTCCATGATCCAACTCAGGATCATTCCGTAAGGTAGACTAAGCCGGTTGCTAGACTTGCAAAACTCCATGTGTTTTATCATAAAGGCCGGTAGGTTGATCTTGATTTTGTGTTTTTGAAGGTAAGCAAAAGTACACTCCAAACTTCCCACATCTTTGCTCTTGTTATTTGTAGGCAACAGGCTATCAGTTACAATCATGACTAGTATCTTTTGCTCTGCGGTTAGCCATTTCCTGTTTGGCCGAGTGGTCGAGGTGAAGCCTTCTCCCTCTCCAAGTAGGTACCCGAGGTAGTCCTTGTACCCCAGGTTTTGGGTACCAATCCACCCCTTTCGGTCGTAGTCTGACACACCTGTGGTGGTCAGTCTCAAGATCTTGGCCAAGCGGCCTTCGGAAAGTATGATTTCCTTGCCTCGGACCATAGCGGTGATTTCCAATTTATCACCTCGCTTGACAGCCACCAAGTGATGATAGAACTCTTTCACCAATTTGGGGTATGTATCCCCTTTTATGGTGAGATACGTATCCAAGAGCCCTTGGAAGTTAAGCATGTCGACCAACTCCGGAGAGAATTGGTCGGGTTCGAGAGCTTTACCTCCGATCACGGTGTAGTCGGCGCTGCTCCATTCCGGGGTGCGGGTTTCGAGGGGCTTTTTCAGCATTTTGGGTAGGTGGTGTTTTTTCGACGAACTTCCGGCGAGGGTTCCGGCGAGGCTCCGGCGAGCTTCCGGCGACGTGGTTCTCTCGACGGCGAAAGGGCGGCGGCGTGGCTTGGTTCTGGCGACGACTCAACGAGGTGGCGGTGGTCTTGGGTGGAGTTGGGCAGCGGCGGTGCGTGTGGCAGCGGGGTGTGTTCGGGGGAGTGACGGGCGGTGGTGGCGTCGCGGGCTGCTTCCGGGCGGCGACGGTGGCGTGCGGTGGGGCGTCGCCTGGGTGGCCGGCGGCGACTCGGCTGGAGACCGCGACTAGCGGGATGGTTGCTGGGGTGGCGTTGGGTCGGCGGAAAGGTGAGAGGGAGAGGAAGAGTGAGAGAGAGGGAGTGTGGAAGAAGAAGAAGGGTTTTTGATTTGGGGATTTTGTGGGTTTTAGGGACTTGTAGGGATTTAAGAGGGGAGTGTTCCCTTAAGGTTTTAAGAAACACCCTTCGCCTAGTGGTTAAGGTTTTGGTCTTGTAAGTGGGAGGTCAAGCGTTCAATTCCCATTGGTAACACTAAGCTTCTTGATTATGTGGTCCTTGTCTTTTTCCTTCCCTTTCCGGGGGCATCGTAGTTTCCTTGATGATTCGTGCCCATGGTTGTGGGGTTGAGTGCATTGGAAGGCCTTGTGCCCTTCTTCTCCGCCAGGGGTTGCCCATGCAATCTTTGCCTCTATGGTTTTTGTTGCATTTTGGGCAGGGGAAGCTCCTTGTGTTAGTTTCGTTGTTTCCTAAGGGTGGCCTCTGGCCAGCTAGATTGCTCGGTCTCGTGTTGGCGTCGTTTCTTGTTCTTTTTATGGGTGGTGCTCCACCTCCTGTGTTCCTTTTTTGAATCTGTTCCTGAACCCCACGTTGCAGCAATTGGATTCGATAGAGATTTGTGGCACTGGAGTAAGCCTCGTTGAGAGTCCGGGGTCTGCTTACCACTAGTGCTTTTTGGGCTTCGAAGTTGAGACCCGATACAAACCTTTCTATTTTGGTTGCCTCAGTGGGGACTAGTTCTGGTGCGAAGCGTGCTAGCTCGAGGAACCGTTTATGGTATTCCATGACGGTAGTCGTTCCTTGTTTCAGGTGGAGGAACTCTTCGTGCATGGATGCTTTTACGTGTGTTGGATAGAATCGTTCTCGTAGTCGTGTTTTGAGGTTTTCCCAGTCGAACCCTGGTTCCTGTCGGTAAGTGGGCCCCTCATGGATCCACCAAAGGTCTGCCTCGTGTCCGAAATAGAATGAGGCTATCTGTACGCGACGTTCCTCTGGGCATTCTACCAACCCTAGAATCTTATCGAAGTTCCGGATCTATTCCTCAAGGATTACGAGATCTTCTTCTCCTGAGAACGTGGGTGGTCGATGTTTTGAAACTTGTCGGGCGACTTCTGAGTTCATGTTTGGTGGAGGTGGTGGGGGTCTGTTGTTGCGGAGAGCTACGTCGCTTAGTGTCTGGGCGACTTGCGCCAGTTGCTGTAGGGTTTGGGTCAGGGGGTCGTGTGTGGTGGGTTCCGGAGTCCTTGATTGTCTTCTGTTTAGTGTCATGCTGCTGTTCTTCTGGGCCAATGTTTATAGTAATGTCGAGTTAGAGTTTTGTACCCTTACCTTGGTGTGATAAGCGGAGGGGAAGTTCTTTTAATTTAAACAAGAGTGAGGGGGAATATGTGATGATGGGTGTACTCACAATCTCACCACGCGTCTTAAGTCTCCTGAGTCCTATGTACTTAAATACCTAGAGTCCAAGCCAAATGTCCTAAAGTCCGGTCTTCAAGGTCTTATGCTAGGGTCAAACTTAGGCTCTGATACCAACTGTAACACCCCGAAATTTTAAAACTTTTGAGACTTATATAATAAAGGTAAATTCTCATTAAATCCCAAAACATAACGTAAGAGTACGGGGTGCTATGCTACACCTGAGCTAGAGAGCTCAGGTGCACAAGCTAACTAACTAATATCCTCAATAATGTCAATACATAAGCATGGCACGAAGGTCGAAAGGGAAACTATCTACCCTACGCTCCAGATCTCTAGCGTGCTCCAGTGTCTACTCATCTGTGCCTGAAAGCCAAATATATCTGTTCAGCGAGAGATGCTGGTAACCCACTCCAACGCGTTGAAATACATTATAGATAGATATAGATAGATATAGGAAAATCATTTCGAAGCAGGAAGATATATACTCAAGAGACACTAGTTTTAAAACCAGGAATAGACTCGACATATACGGATAAGCACGCTCAACAGTTATAACCAAGCATATAAAGATACTAGCATATATCCTATGGTCACAGATTCACTTCATCCCATTCACATCATTATTCAATTTGTATCTCACCACACAAGCACACTTTAGTGGCGCCACAGGACCAATCACATGCCCATACATGAGGGTCAGCGCATATAGCTCTGACACGGCCCCATAGCACCCTGCCTCGTATCGCAATACGAAGGGGTCGATCGCAACCGACCAATGAACCGCAGCTCATCATAATGTTTGATCGCAACCAAACAGTGGACCGCAGCCCAAAAGAGATCATTTGACCGCAGCCAGGAATATGAACCGCAGCTCATGTAAAACGTTTGATCACAACCAAATGGTGGACCGCAGCCCAAGAGTGTAATTCTGACCGCAGCCAGCTTCTGAACCGCAGCTCAGGAATAACCAATTTGATCGCAACTAAATTGGGTTATCATTCACACATAACACATAGCAAGCACATGCAACCCACATTAACACATTGGGAAAGGGGAGAAGGCGTATAATGAAACCTATGCGTGGTCATCCACATACTAGGAATAATCCTAAGGGGTTCATACTTCCTTTACCTAGGCCAACGGGATACCAATTCAACTAGCATGCGATATATATGACTCTATTATCCTACGAATGGTACCCGGAACATCAAACTAGACTTAGGCATGATAAACGGAGTCCGTTGGGACACCATGAGGGTCGGGGAAACATCTAACGGGGAAGCCGAAGACCCAAGGTGGGCAAATTCCAGCGGGTAGCCGGTGGGTGGAGGACCACCCGCCGGCGACAAGCCTCCGGGCAGCGGGTGCCCGGCGGGTCCCCCTACCCCCACCTACCCCCCACTGACTCTTTATCAAAATAAACGTCCCGGGATCCATTGTGGAACCCGAAACCATGCTTAGACACTTTCAAACATAATTGACGACACCACGTAGACAATTAGCGGATCAAAAGCAAGAATCATATAGCACACACCCTATTATGATTTCTAAATGAAACCAACACCCGAACATGCGAAATCCCACCCAATTATATCAAGAATAACACAATACGAAATCCCCAATTTGACCTAGGGCTCTAATCACATTTAAATCATCAAAATCATAGTTCATCTTTTTAATATCAAGAAACGTCAAGATTCATCAAGAACATCACATAATCATCAAGAACCTCTTATCATCATCATGATCATCGAGATCACACATAAAATCATCTCACCAATTATCAAGATCATATCATCAATATCATAAACGATTCATCACGACACAAGCATAGAGAGGAGGCCAAAGAAGATAATTATAACAAGGAAAATAGGTTTTGTTGAGACATGGGTTACCTCTTAGCCTTAATTAATTTACTTGGCTATGAAGGGTCTTTCTTTAAGGTTCCTTCTTTCTTGATTTCTCCTAGGGGGGGTTCTTGGAACTTCTTGCGTGGTGAGAGATTATTGTGGTGTGGGTTCTAGGTGCCTCCTACGTCCCCTATTTATTTATCTAAGAGTCCCAATTAGGGACCAAATACTATAGGCTTGCTAATTCTATTCCTTCTAGGACTAGGGGCTAGGTTTTAGGGATAAGGGCCCATGGACTATGGTCGGCCTTCTCCTAATTAATTACTGTAATTTAATTCTTTCTTTTGGGTAAATGATTAAATGATTAATTGGTTTTAGGGGTCGTAACACGAGGTGTTACATGCAGGGTCTTCGCTCTGCACGCCTGCAAATGATGAAGCCAAAGAGAATGCAAATGGCGTGAAGAGATACCACTTCTACTACACGTTCTGGGGTATTCACGATGCGACACATGGAAGCGTACACAGGGCAGGACTGTGCAAGTTGGGAGACTGGATTGCAACGTGGGGATGCCCAACAACTAGTGAACATGCGCAAGCGGTACATGTATAACATCCTGTTGAGCGTGGAAAATACACATGTGGAGAGCATTGCATCGCGTGTGGTGGAATTTGGATGGCACAGAAAAGGACGGTTGCATCAGTGATCTAGTGAACTCCCACAATAATGTGGACATAGGCTAGAATGTTTGGCATTTGATTATATTTCGTATTAAAAACTCCTCTGCACTCGATTAGATTTCGTATTTAAAACATCTTTTGCATCGGTGTGGTAGCTTAGTGTCTCCCTAGACATCTTTTGGTTAGTATAAAGCTGCCAATGCCACGGCGGTAGGAATAAAATCATGGTGTCAGACTCATTTTTTGGCTATGTTTGTGAATTAGCACAGCTATGAAAATTAGTTTTGATTTTTTCAAGTTACAGTTACTAATATATGCATATGAGTCATATTAGTAAGAGTGAGTTAGTGGTACTGTCACCTCTAGGATCTTGTGTGTTGTGGTAGTGAGGTTATTAGTGTTTTAGCATTGTTTTAATTACTTCATCTCACATGGTCTATCTGCACTTTCTACCAATTTTTACACTTTGCTCAATCGCAATCTCCTGCTTGCTTTTTATTCGTTTCCAAGTGCCTTTGTTCTTTGCCTGGGCGGGGGCTTGGATTCTGATGGTTTCTGGTGGCTCCACACCGCATAATGCCTTGATCGCACTATGGTTACCCTTAATAGGGTCCACAGTTATACCGTCGCTTCTAAATTCATCAGAAAGATCCTTCAATACTGAAACTAGACGTGTCTGGCGCTCCATGCTGGTGCCTACTAATGCCACACATGTGTTAATTTCTGACCACAGTTGGGACGCAATAGGTGCTGGGTGTTCACCAGACGCTAGTCCGTTTCCATAAGCAGAACAATTTAAGTGCTTGCACTAACGACGGGTAACGTATTTCGACAGTAATTGCTCTATCTGTGCCCCCCGGAAAACAAGGAACATATGACGGCACACCATGCCGATTCGTTGGAACATGTTGTAGTTGCATGATGCATCAGGGCCCCTCGGGTTGAACTGCACGATGAAATTCGAGTTGTATTCGCCTTTGATGGTGTAATTGGTGCTCTCACCCTCTTGATGTATTCCTACAACACAGCAATAAAAACAAGCAGCCTCGAGCTCTGTCTGCAGCTTGTAAAAAATAGTTATCGTGAACACTTCTGCAATGTGACGCTCAAGTGCAAATGGAGTTTTAAATTCAGGCAAGTATCCCTCGCACGCTGCATTCAATTTAGACTGTCGGTATCGTTGTGTTGCGAGCACGCTCTCAAATTGCATATAGAACTCTACCAAACTTGAATTTGGACGAGTGAACTTGCCGTAAACACCATTCTCTTCTTCTGAACGGGATGTGGTTCGTAACAATCCACTCATGGGTAATTTTGAGTAATAAGCTGGGATCCAACTCTCCCTTTCTACAAACAGTTTGCAAAACCAACGGTGCTCGGTAAGTTTGTATTCAGTCATTAATTGGTGTCATTCCACCTCGAACACATCTGGGTGGATCCTCTCATTCTAAACGATATCATTTAGTTTCTTGCGAAACGTCTCGTCTTTGCCTAACGCACTCCCTCCTAGCTTTTCATTCACCTTTGTCATGATGTGCCACATGCAGTATCGATGACGGGTCTCGGGAAAAACTCGGTCCATCGCGATTCTCATAGCCAGGTATTGGTCTGTAACAACGCATAATGGGCTTTTCCCCATTGAGCTCTTGAATTTATCCAGTAGCCAAGTGTATGAGTCGGCATCTTCCTTGGTGAGCAGACCGGCCCCAAAAGTAATGCACCTCTTGTGGTTGTCCATGCCTGTGAATGGCACGAAAACCATACTGTACCTGCGTGCAAGAATATATATATAGTTAGAGAACTTGAATTCTGTATCACGATTACTAAATCACGACTCTACTGTTATCCTAACTCTCTTCAGAAGGTAACAACAACAAATATATTTTAAATGCACATGGCCACACAATTCCTTCCCCTTACCACTAACGCCTGTAATATTTAGTTCAAGAAGTTTGGCACAATAAAAAATAAAATAAAAAAAAAATCCAAAACAACCATATTATCTTAAATCACAGCTTCCCACTCATTGCAATAACCAGGTACTGCATTATGATAACAATTGTTCACATAACATCGAGCTTATATATTCATCAACAAAACTCGAGTAAAAACTAACCTATTAATTGAATAAGCACATTGCAGTCATTAACATAGCCAAAAAAATGAGGCTGACACCCACATATTTCGTATATCAAAATCCATTTGCATACCTGTTAGACCAGTAGGTTGCGTCATATGAAACATTATCGCCGTAGCACCTAAATGTACGAATGTACGCCTTCCTTTGGGTCAGCCCAGAACAACCGTGCTAGGCGGTCTTCCTCGTCTAGATGGTGATCAAAGAAGAAATCACTACAAACTTCTTGCTTCGCTTTAAATGTCATCTCCTCATCACCCGCCTCAACGTACTTTTGTAGGTCACACTTGAAATTGTGGAATTCCACGTCTGCTGCTCCGATGTTTGCGTATGAACCTCTAACTTCCTTGCAGAACCGGAGGCCTGTAGATGCACCAATGTTAGATTTAACACAATTCGCTAAAAACGCTTGCTGGGCTACATCAAGATGCCTGTTTATCCTCAAAAAAACCTTAGACGACTCCGAGCACAACTGGTGGGTATGTTTCTCCTCAAAAATAGACACAAAGAACTTCCCGTTGCTTCGTTTCCTGAACCCAATCCTTGCTTGACACTTTACCCTGTTTGAAATCCTACGGCGGCGCTCGTTTGGAGCCACGTCGCTTCAAGTATAGCGTGCCATATGGGGTCACGAATCCCCACAGTGAAGTGAGCTAACTTAACGACAGAAAAAAGGATTGATAAAATTCGTATAGAAGTTCTTATCTCAGCAATAGTGTCCGGGGATCTCGAGTACTGGAAGGTTCATAACGACGGGGTATGCGCCCAACGCCTCTAACCCCCTGTCGGCTGCACACCAAATAACGCAAATATGGTACCCCGTCCCGGTCTCGTTTGACGCTGCTATGACGTACGTCGAACCCACTAGTACGGGCGTAGTTTATGTAGAATTGGATGCCTTCTACTAGTGTATTAAATTCTAGGCCAACTGCGGGTAGTAATGTAGCATCGCCGAGAACTGTGGGGGGTTGTTAGCAATATTTAATTCTGATATTTTAGTTTAGACTATTATTATTCTTTATTATTTGAATTAGTTAATAATGATTTAGTCTTCCTATTATTAATGCTAGTCTTCATGCATGTGGGAGCTTGATCCTAATTTTCAGTATATTATTGTTGGTCTTTAATCTATATAAAGACATTTCTGTAAACAAGTATTCAATAGATAATATAAGAGTTCTCTTCTTCTGTGCTATAGTATTCTTAGTCTCATGCATTAAGTGTCTTATTACTTCATTTCACACCCAACAATTGGTATCAGAGCCATGAACAATACAACTCAACTTTCAGTTCCTGTTTTGGATGGGAAAAATTATAATCGTCAGTTACCTATTCACTTGCGAGACTATGAGGTAATTTCTGATAATCAAATTGATAATGATGGGGATATGGTTCATTTCGCATTTTTAGCAGATGTTGAACCTGTCACATTTGATGAGGCAATCCAAGATCCTAAATGGGTAAATGCAATGAATGAGGAAATTTCAGCAATTGAAAAAAATAATACGTGGGAACTAACTGATATCCCACAGGGACAAAAGGTTATTGACGTGAAGTGGGTTTTTAAGATAAAGGTAAAATCCAATGGTGAGATTGAAAGATACAAAGCCAGATTAGTGGCAAAGGGATTTGAACAAAGACTGGGCTATGATTACCACGAAGTGTTTTCACCAGTGACTCGGATGGAAACAATCAGGCTTCTAATTGCTTTAGCTGCACAAAAGCAATGGAAAATCCATCAAATGGATGTTAAATCTGCCTTTCTCAATGGTCCCCTTGAGGAAGAAGTGTTTGTGAAGCAACCATTGGGTTTTATCAAAAAAGGAAGTGAAGGGAAAGCGTATAGGTTGAAAAAGGCATTGTATGGCCTTAAACAAGCACCGCGTGCATGGAATAGGCGCATTGACTCATTTCTTCATGCAACTGGATTCAAAAAATGCCCATCTGAACATGGATTATATGCCAAGATTAATCATTCTAGTGATATATTGTTATTATCTTTATATGTTGATGACTTAATATTTTCAGGCAATAATCCTAGAATGATTGAAGAGTTTAAAAAATCCATGATGAAGGAGTTTGAAATGACGGATCTTGGTCTCATGTCATACTTTCTTGGCATTGAAGTAGATCAAAGAGATAATGGGATTTTTATGTGTCAAAAGTGATATGCCACTGAGGTTTTGAAAAAGTTTAATATGTACGATTGTAATCTTGCAAGAACTCCTATGGAGGTTGGTACAAAATTGTCTAAAGAGAGTGATGATCAATACGTTGATCCTACTTATTTCAAGCAGATTGTGGGGAGTTTAAGGTACTTAACATGTACTAGGCCTGACATTTGTTATAGTGTTGGTCTGGCCAGCAGATTTATGGAGTCGCCTCGGCAATCACATCTGCAGGCAACAAAAAGAATCTTGCGTTATTTGAAGGGTACCTATGATCATGGATTATTTTACTCATCATCTGACAATTATGTTCTTACAGGATATTCTGATAGTGATTGGGGTGGAGATATTGATGACCGGAAAAGTACTTCCGGTTATTGTTTTAATGCTTGGCACTACAGCTTGTTCGTGGTCCTCGAAAAAACAATCAATTGTTTCACTTTCAACTTGTGAAGCAGAGTACGTAGCAGCAGCTTCGAGTGCATGTCAAGCAATATGGTTGAACAATGTGTTGAACCAAAGTTATGTTCCTGTCCAGTGTCCATTGAAGATTTATGTCGATAATGTTTCTGCAATTAACTTATCCAAGAATCCAGTCACGCATGGAAGAAGCAAGCACATTGATATGCGTTATCATTTTTTGAGAGATCAAGTTGACAAGAAAGTGATTGAGTTACAATATTGCAAGTCTGAAGAGCAAGTAGCCGACATACTCACTAAATCCTTGAAGTATGAAGCCTTTATCAAGTTAAAGCGCATGCTCGGGGTGGTAGAAAATCAGAATTAAGGGAGGATGTTAGCAATATTTAATTCTGATATTTTAGTTTAGACTATTATTATTCTTTATTATTTGAATTAGTTAATAATGATTTAGTCTTCCTATTATTAATGCTAGTCTTCATGCATGTGGGAGCTTGATCCTAATTTTCAGTATATTATTGTTGGTCTTTAATCTATATAAACACATTTCTGTAAACAAGTATTCAACAGATAATATAAGAGTTCTCTTCTTCTGTGCTATAGTATTCTTAGTCTCATGCATTAAGTGTCTTATTACTTCATTTCACACCCAACAGGGGCTAGCCCGATGGTGCCGCAGGCCGCCGCCTCTGTCTCTAGCGTCATCTACGCCGACTGTGAGTGGTCATCATCCGCGGGGGCCCGTAGTGATGGGTTGTTTGTTCCGATTTCACCACCGGCGTTGTTGTTTTCTGTTTCGGCATGCACTTCCGTCGGCTGCCCATCCGCACAAGTATGGGGTACAACTAATAACGGTGGATACATATGCTCGCTGTTGGATAGCCATGGCCGACGGTCACAAGAAGTTGAACCTGCTCCACGCATAGATGGTCGTTCGCCCATTCTCACCGCCAGTCGCTACGTCCGAAGTCGTTCTCCAGGTTAGGATGAGGTTCTGTAAAGTATGCATGAAAATAGCGGTTAGGCAGTCTTGTACAACAATTCAAACGCTGATGTGTAGAAGGCCCGTGTGCATCATGTGGGGGGGAGCAGCGTGATGGTATGCACCACAACATATCTACCGCCAAATCTAATTAATCGAAGCACCGGATGGATCCACTTATTCACACATTAATATTGGTTTGCACTGGAAAAATAGCCTATATATATATATATATATATATATATATATATATATATATATATATATATATATATATATATATATATATATATATATATATATATATTATATTTTATATATATATATATATATATATATATATATATATATATATATATATATATATATATATATATATATAGGTTCGAACCTAAAATAAATAACAGAATATTCCGTTACTAAAGTTTACACTGACAGAATGCGAGATAATATTTATAGGAAAAAAATAATAATAATAATGAAAGGTAAAGTAGAAAAAATTGTAAGAAAAATTAAAACAAAAATAATATGAACCATTCATTTTTTATTTGAGAGGGAAGGGAGACATGAACCATTCATTTAAATAAACCGTTATACCA